TGCCGACAACAATTAACATTTCATACAATTAAGGTTCCCCCCCCCCGCGTTCAAAAAGAGTCGATTTTTTCGAAAGATTAAAGTTTGAGTTTTTATCATAGATAGATGCCTCAAAGTCTCCTCTTTCAGAATATATATAGGTTTTTCAAAATAGGTCCGATTTTAAGAGAATTATCGAAAAAATACTAAACCGTACTGCCTTCTTTTTCGAGAAAAGACGAATGGCAGTAACGTCATTTTTTGATCGAACTGTTTTCTTAAAAAATAGTTACATGGTTGGAATCAGTATAAAATTTTGAACAAAATACTGTACTTTTTATGGAAAAATAATTTTTTTGTAAAATCATTTTGCCTTGGTCACCTTCCCGAAAACCAATTTGTTTTCTTTTTTTTCGGAATTTGATCTAGGCATAGCTTATTCAGTGCGCTGGTCACGAATATGAGGTTTGCTTTCCATAAAAATGTTCTCCGAATAAAAAAGTGGCAGTTCCCGACCCGACGACGATCTTTTTTACCTTGCTTCACAGATCGCTGTCTTGTAATTAAAGAAATCAGTTCAAAAAAGAAGACATACAATGAATATGTGCAAAAACGATAGTTCTATCGATTCCATTCAATTGAAAGAGTTAAAATCAATGTTAGGTTATGTTTATTAGGTTAATAACTTTCATTTCATATTCATAAGTATAGGCGCGTCAGTTGAAAGAATAGAGCTAATAGCAACGCTCGTTTATAGGTGGAACGAGTTGATATCATTCATAGCATCATCGAAAAGGTTCAGTGTAAAAATATAGCATAGAGATCCTTTTTCGAGTTTAAACAAAAAAAGATGAAACTAGTTTCAAGTGATATCAGATCATTTTTTTTTTAATTTTGAAGCTTCAAGTGTAAGTAAAATCTTGTCCGAACAGATTTTTTATATTTGATTCTATACCAACAGGTGGCCACTTTTAGCTAAATTTTGACCCCTATTTCAGTAAAATACTTGCAAAAAACGAATTAAAGCAAATTTTAAAGTTCCGCTCTGACAAAAGTTGCGTATTGATGCTGGTTTTAATTTAAAACAAGCGCGACTTTTATAACTCTCATACTGGCAGAGCCTTAGGGATTCTTCTTGTGACCATAATTCGTATGTAAATAAGCCATATGTTCGACTCAGTTCAATATATCGAGCTGAAATCTTTATCACGGCTGTTTCTAATAAAGATCAGTCATCCCTGAAAATTTCAGCTCAAACGAACCTTTCTAAATGACGACTCAGATCTGAGGGCGGGGGCTTAACAGCTTGTTCTTTTTTTTCTTCTTAAGTAAAAAAGAGAAAGAAAGAAATCTACATTATTAACATGAGTTGAAATCAAGTGAAAAAGGAAGATTGTAAAACAGTACTTGAAACAGTTATTTATTTTAATTGCATTTTTCGACCGTTAATGATAAGTGATCACTAACAATAGATCAATCATTTACAATAAATCCATGTATTTAAATTCCAAAACAAAAACAAGAATGATTGTACATTTCTCAAGTGTATTGAACAAATAAAATTTTGACGATGCACTTATGAGGGACATTCTGAAATTCACTTGCAGATGTAAACTTGTAAATGTGCGTGTTTATATTTTTGTTAATTCCAAATAAATTGGTCTCAAATTTAAGATGGATTTCATTTGTGTTTAATCAAACTCGGTAGCAAATTCTATGGCAACGAAAAATTAACATAATAATAGTCACCCAAAATAGTACCAAATACAATATTTAAGACATGTGATTAATTATAAAACATTAATTGTAGAAAAACGGCATTCCTAAATTATGCTTTTTCTTACAAAAAACTATTTTCTATCATCATCAATGCGAAGTAGATTCAATTAGAATCAAACAAAAAGAAATTTACTTCTATATGTATAGAAGAAAAAAAGTAATGCTTTTAGATTTTTTACATAGCATGCATCATTAAAAAATAAGTCTATGAGTGAGTCATAATGAAGTTTATGAAATAATAAGTTAGATTTCGAAACATGCTATTTAAAATCTTGAAAAAGCTCGTCATGTCGGTATGGAAATTTTAATAGAAAAGAAATTGAGTAGAAATGATGCTGATTTTATATTATTTGTTTCTGTGGAATGTTCTTTGATAAACCATAATGATGATTCAGATATAATTAATTGGCCATTTTGTTTTTTCGTCGGATGATATCTATCTCACACATTACTGTTATCTTCAATGCAATGTTGGCGATTATTCAGCTGTATTTATTTCCCATTCATGCATGTGCATATGCCAATAATATAGAAGAATATTGATGATGTTCTCCAATCACGATTGAAGTTTTGCTTATTATTATTAAATGTGAATAGTTAGTATGTTTATTTTCTTCTCGTGTTCTTATTATTTTAGTTAAAAGTTGTTTTTTCTTGTACAAACTAAATAATGCCTGAAGTTATTTATGAATTGAATGTACCCAGGTCGATCAAAACGGACCACCGTAAACCGGCATAACATTGCCGTAAACGGTCGTTTTTGCATCGTATTCCGTCGTAAAAACGGCCGTTTTAAGCCGAATTAAGGCGTTTTAACAGGGGCAGTATTACGGCCATACTTAGGCACCGTATATCAGCCGTAAAACCTGTTAAAGCCGGCGTAATATTATCGTATTCTATAGAACATACGGCCATATTACTGCCCCTGTTGTACGGGGAAACTGCGGCACGTGAAACGGGCCGTATTTGTATCGTATACGACCGTTTACTGGTCGTTTTCTTCGACCGGGGTAGTAACGATAAGAAAAAGCATCGCGTTTGCAAAAAAAAAAAGAGACAGTCTTTTCATCTCTTTATCATTTATCTTTTGAATCAATACGTTGGGCACATGATTAAGGGTAAAATAAAAACGTTGTGTTTGTAATTCTACTTATCGTTGTTAATTTTAACGACACATATTCGTAAGGGTGTGTCAACACCTATTATATTTGTATGAAAGAATACCTTGAGATGATGATGCATTGAAAAATTGCCAATGGAAATAGTTTTTTTTTTTTGTAATTCAAAATGGGTATGTTTGTTAGTTACCTGGATTCTTAGAGTATTACGTGGTTTATTGAGTTAAAACAGTTACTATTTCTTTAAAAGCCTAATCCCCCACCGAGTAGTATTGAACGAATAAGTAATTTCTTCAGAGTTTTGTTTCTTCTTTTTTTCTAAAAACAATATTTCAGACTTCATAAGTTTAATCATAACCATGGAAGAACATGGCATGTTTGTTGAGACGAATGTTGCTGAAAATGAACGAACGGAACATGTAAATTTCCTTCGTATGGCTATTAAAGTAAGACGACAGAGATGGAATTTAGTTTATCGATTAAACTGTGTATTCTTGTTTTTAGTTAGCAGAGGATAATGTTGAGCATGGTCTTGGGGGACCTTTTGGTGGTGAGTTTTATTTCTTTAGATTTATGCATTATTCTAGAATAATGTGTTTTTGTATTTAGCGGTAATTTGTAAAGACGGTAAAATTATTGCTCAAGGTGCTAATAGAGTTGTTCCAGCACACGATCCGACAGCACATGCTGAAATCATGACAATCCGACTTGCTTCGGAAAAATTAGAAACACATAATCTCGAAGGTTGTGTTATTTACACTTCATGTGAACCTTGTCCCATGTGCTTAGGTGCTATTTATTGGGCGCATATTGATCATATTTATTTTGCGCAATCAAAACATGACGCTAAAGATAGTAGGATTGATGTTGAGATGTGAAAATGCTTAAAATAATTGTTCTATCTTTCGTTTTTTTTCTAGTTGGTTTCGATGATCATTTTATCTACGAAGAATTAGCACGTGAATTACATGAAAGACGTGTTGGTATTACTCAACTACTTAAACAGGAATCAAAAGCATTCGAAATGTGGACAGAATCGCATAAAAAAACTCATTATTAATGTGTAATGTGCTATGTTTTATTAATAAAAGAAAAATAAGCAAACAGGGATCATTCAACACAGATATTTTATGATCCGCGATAAGTACTATAACCAAATTTATTAAGTAACAATGGTACATGATAATGAGCTGTATCTGTCGTACGAAATTCAATAGTAACAGAAGGAAAAAATCCATCAGCCATATAAGATTCAACATCGAATATAATACGCCATCGACCTGGTTGCCATTTGTCCGTAGGAACTAAATCTAATGCACGACCATCATCATTCGTTTTTGCTGTTGTTGATATTGGTATCCATTCCTCACTGATGAAATTTTCTACTCGAACCGGTACATGACAAGCTGGTCGGCCACATGATAAATCAAGAATATGTGTAGTTAAAGTTTTAGCCATCTAAAAAATTTATTGAAATCAGAGAGGAAAAAAAAACCTTCTGTTAGTTAATAAAAGAGAAAAGTGATCGAATCACAATGATGGAGAAAAAAAAGGCAGTCAATTTTAAAGTTTCGATGAAAGTGCTGCTTTTGGCGGCGGTCTTGTTAATGCACATTGTATATAGCCATGAGGTTCGTCAATAGGCATGAATATTTCATTTTTATTTTCTTCACCAAAACGACTTAAATCAACCGGTAAACAATGAAGATTTGGCATGGTTAATTGAATTTTATTGACTGATTTTACACTATCTAAAACAAGTTTACCCATAGCATATAATGTATGTTGAACACTTTCCGATTGATGTGCAGCAAATAAATCAAGCATTAATGAGCGAATTTGTTGACGAGTTTTCTCGTAATCCGTGATTGCTGATGCATCCTCAAATGTCCAAGTAGCAAGAACACTTGTGCCGAAAAGACGATCAGTTGAATCAGCCAACGTTGTTAACTTATCTCTGTAGAATCGAACAAAATTTGAGTCAGCCGTTTTCATTACCTTCAAATCTCTCAAGCCAGATGCAATGGTAAAATTGCCATGTCTTGGACGTCTAACATTTGTAAATTGTACTTCATTGCTTCCTTGGGTGAATGCTGTTGGATGACGAACATTATTTGATGTCACAATATTTGTCCACGATTTACGATCAACATCAACGTTAACAGCCGATATTTGAGAATGATGTTTAATTAAATAATCAACAAGTTCTTTTGCGAAATCTTCTATTGCTGTGGCACGTGTACGTTGAGCCAAATAATAAACTGAAATATTTCAAAAAAGAAGACAGCCCGACTCATTTATTTGTTTCATTAAAAAAAATCATTACCAGTATTTTTCATTGTATCTGTTGGCAATAATTTGGAATTATCAGCTTCAGTATAGCTGCTATCAAAATCACCTTCGAGGAGAACACGTACTGTCCATTCATCGAACGTATTTCCATTGTATGGGGAACGATGCACTCGTACAAGGCGCACACCTTCTTTGCCATAGCGATTCTCAGCGACAGTCGCCATTGTGTATACTTTTTCTTTTATTTCGAAGTTATGAAAGCAAACGGATGAAGGCGTCGTGTGTATAAATGCATTTATCTATTACATACACGTATTCTCTCTTTCTCCTCTTCTTCTTTTTTTTTTATCATACGACTAACCAGGTCAACAGAAAGAGAAACTGAAGAAAAAGTAGTCAATATTTACTTGTACTCTTGAATAAAACACATTAAAAATTTATGGTCCATGTTTCATTCAACATCTTTGAAAACGAAACTGCATCTAGTTTCGTTCACAATGATACAGTCTATGAATCAGCTTATACGTCATCAAAAAAAAATAGAACATGCAATCGTTGAAGGAGAGAAACAATCAATGCCAACGGTTCTTTGTTCTCCTTAAGATCAGACTTTACGGAGGTGTACGAAATTATTGCGTATGTAGTCGTTAGTGATCAAAAGTAAATTTACTCATGGCAATAAGCGAAGCAAAAAAAAGTCCGATTGTCGTATTCTTATCGTTTATGGCCGCGTAGGGCTGTATTTTCATCGTAGACGAGGGCACACGGTCGTTTTCACACAATTGCGAAAGACCTTGTGTTTCTTTTCTTTTGGATGTGAACAATCTGTATAAATCTAAATCTGCTTCATGTCATAATGTAGGTGTATCTATTAATTGAAATTATGGATGTGATCAGATGAATTTCCGTCAGATATATTTAATTACATGTGTAATTTGGATTTCTTTTAATTTTCACGGCAACGATTTCCTTTTTTTTTGTTATAAACTCTAAGGTCAAATTGTTATCTTAGAATCAACACTGCGCAATAGATTATGAGTAGTTTATCATATCTATACTAAACTCCAAATTCCATTATTCCACATCGAAAGTACAAAATATTCAATTAATGAATGAATCGAATAATTTTTACTCTATATTCTTTTCAAATGTCTAGATATATTTTTTGCACTGAGAACGTTCTAGATAAGTAAGCGATTAACGAAAAATTATTTTTTTATAGGCCTTCTATGATTTGTTGAGTCTGTCTTGATTCTTGCATTTCTTTTTTCTACGTATGATTATAAAAGAAAGAAAAACAAGAATATTAGTAAAGGTGAATGTCTATGTAGTAGATCGCTAATAGTCAAAAAGTACTTTTATGCGCATAGACGTGCATTATTCATCATGGATGTGCAGCATTCTTTTTGTTTGCGTTGAGCAGATTTTAAAGATTAAAAAAAAAATATATATATATATATACGCTAGTCATTCATTCTCTCAACTAGAAGAAATTACTGGGAGATTATTCAAGATTACAGTATTGGACATGTTTTTTTGTGATCAAAATCAGTTTGTGATTTATAAAAATCGCTAAGCGTAACTACGCGTTGCATCGTTTTTCTCTCTTCGTGATTTTATCTCTCGTAATTACGAAGAAACATGTAACAAAGTATTTCATACATTCATAATTACTATAGTTTAAATCAGCATGAATAGATAACGTAGCTACTAAAAAAAGCTATTCGAAAATATCTTCGAGTCTCATGACAGTCATGTCACTCTCGCCATAACAGGCACGGCAATTTGAAATAATTGTTTTCACAAGTCACGTGAAGAAAAACAAAAGCATATGACGGAATATACAACCAAATAATGCTATTCAAAAGAAAAAGAAATAAATGTGGAAACTTCGGATTTCATCCGAGAGCTATGTGTACTGCAAAAAGTGCATGGGACATATGAGTCATTCTAGAATGTCTGAACACCAAAATTATCATGAGAAACTAGACAATTTGATTTCTGAATGCAGTTTTTGTGCATCTTGAGACGTTTTTCAGGCGATATTTCGTTAGAAAGCTACGATTTAGTTCAAGACTAATATCAGATTCAGAATCAGCGTTAAAAACTGAGTCGATTTATATATGTTGTGGATAATTTAGAAAACAAAAATTTTCTTTTTGAAAAATCCCTGTACTCCCCCTCAGGGATGGTCTGATCAAAAATGACAATTTTTTCGATAGCTCAGCCATTTCTTGACGGATCCCTCTCATCTTCGAATTCGACTGAGATATTGATGAAATCATTCTGTGTACAATATTTCAGCTCAATCGAATGTAATTGTGAAGAGCTATATAATAAACGGCCGGACACACTGACCGATTCTATAGTGTACTCTTTTTGTTTCTTGAGTACACAAAAACACATGCAAACAGTTTTCGCTCCTGTTTTTTATTTGGTTTTAATACTTCAATATCAATAGCGATCGTGATCAGCCCTCAGTACGAGGTTATTTCTGCTTAAGACTAGTCAAACAAATGAATTAGTGACTTTTTTTTCTCAGGGTATCAGTGTATTGTATTTTCTGTTAGATTGATCATCAACGAGTTCCATATAGAAAGATATCGAATAACTAAAGTAATATTGTGATAATCAACAGCAACAGTTTGTCATGCGAGTGTGAGGCCATAAATTAGAAAGCATAAAAAAATTAGAAATGAATAATGTGTTTTCTTTACATGGCGCTTCCACTCATATTTTTTAGAATAAAAAGAACAAGCCAAATCAACAAGCAAACAATGGAGCAATTTATTGGTTTCTATTGTAAAATTTTGCATTAGAGCAACAATTAAAGAGGAACAAATCGACATTTACTTTCGTAGTTGAAATTTTATTGAAACGAGGTCACGTAACTTTTTCGTATGCTATTCATTTTGACTCACTCGAATGTTTTGTTTTTGCTTAAATTGAATGTCGCTATTGCAATGATCGATAATATTGCGCTAAAAAAGTCATCATAACAGACAGTCGTTGAGTAAAAGAAAAATAACAACAGCACTGGAGGGAGTCAAGAATAATATACTACGATAAGAAACATGACAGTTTTATTGTGATAGATCGTGTAGAACTAAATCATTTTTTTTGCTTTATGATCTGTTACAATAAATGAATTCATCTTTCGATAAAATGAATATTACGTTTTGATTGAAAAAACAGAAATGCTTAATCTTTTCTAGAATGAAGAATATGAGAACATCTTATGGTCGACCGTATAGGACATTTCTAATCGAAGTATGTCATCTATCGTTCTGGATTATTGAAGGCTATTATCAGCATAATAACATCCTGAATGGAAAATAATGGCAATCGATAGAAAAGCATCTTGCCAATGCTCCATAGCTAGATATGCGAATTGAATATCTTTAGAAGAGTACAAAAGATGCTTCAAGAAATTCTTTTTTTTTGTTTTTATGAGAAAGCTTCACTCTGGGAAGCATCACTTTTAAGATGCCACATATGAAAGGAATTCTTCTTGGGAGATAATTGCTCGGATGTAGCTGGATGAAATTCAACATATTATAAATAGATTAGATTTTATTGGTTTAACAGCAATCTAGTTTAAATAAAATATCATTTGAAATAAATGAGGAACTAGTTAAATATGTATTTCAAAATATATCGATTAAGAACAAATAAAAAGCAAACAGCTTAAATAAAAACGAGGCAGCACACTGTTTTATTCCTGTTTCTTCCGAATATGTTTTGATTTTCACTTCATCTTGCTTGGGGTTTTTGTTTTGAAATATAACGAACAATTTTAACTGCTAAGCACAGCGTTCTTGCCTATGTACATATACAATATATACTGTCACTACGCAGAAGTACGGTACGCAAGAAAAACAGAAAAAACGCAGCACCACATTATTGCACAACGAAAAGAAAAACAGACGAGAAGAAAAAGCAAGAAGAAAAATAAAACCATACGAAAAAGACCGGGTATAGCCGCAACTAATCATCAAAATTTTCAAGCAATAGATTCGTCTTCAACAGTAAATGTAGAACGAGGAGATGTTGATTGCGCAATAGAACGTTTTATACTTGCATTGTGACGATCATATTTTTGAGAGTACAGCCAATCTGTTCTAGAAAATTTCAAATTATGAATTTTTTCATAGTAAAAACAAAAACTTTAAATATAAGTGAAAGCAAACACCAAACTTTAATGAACACAATAAATAAAAAGGATAATAAGCAGTTTCATTGTAAAATAGGGTTGAGAAAAATGTCAAGCATGAAAAGTTCGGGTTTGTTTTTCACTTCGAAATCTCTTGCAAACTCATACTTACATTATAAAAATCAACAAAAACATCGAAATATTCTTCTTCTGCTTCTCGCCTGTTTTGAATCATATCTGAATAGAGACCGGGCAAATATATTCATATGAATCCTTACTATCTCGACAGGAAGCAAAACAATTCTAAAGATTTCTTCGGAAAAATTAAAACTTTTGAGTGTGTTTAGTCTCGAAAACATTTTGATTAGTATAAAGAGTCAACAACAAGAACAAGAAAAGCTAAGTGAATGAATTGCTTGTTATTCATTGTAATCAATGAGTTAAACGCAACGGTGATATATTAATTTTTGTTTTCTACCATAATTTATAGATCCGGGTTTTCCTTTATTGAGCAAGATAAGTATCTTCATATCTAAAAGCAAGTTAAGACAAAAAAAAACAAATAAGAACGAAGACATATAATCACTATCACCAATAAGTTGTGTAAAACAAACAAACAAAAAATAGACAGTAACAAATTTGATTTCCCCCAACATCAATGACAAAAACAATATGCTACCTTTTTATTTCCTATTGATGGTTGCAAATAGATACTTATGTATATGTCATCTAGACAAAGAGAAAATGTGTGTTTTTCTCATCGCAATGATTTCTGTTATAAGAAGATATGTTTTGAATAGTTTCAATGAGTTTAAAAAAAAACAACAACTTACTGTTCTATGATAGGAGGAATTGAAAGGTTATTATGAGGAAATTCTCGTTGAAGTTCAGCAACTGTATATAAATAATTTATTTTATGATAGAATTTTTTACTAATAAAAGAGAAAAAACTTAAAATTTTATCCAAATGAAACTAAATTCATACCTGAAAAATGGTCTAGACAACGCAATTATTGTGCGAAGCCATCGTGTTGGATGTACAACATAAACTGAGCGAAGATTTTTTCGAAGTCTAATCGAATATAATTATAAAATTTTTCAACAAGAAAAATAGTGCCCTACCGAAAGTTAATCATCTGATAACATTTGCGCAGAAATTTTAAATCCGGTGTTCGATGTTTTGGTGTTGCACCATGAAAATAAATTAGAACATAATCGTTTGTAACTAGTTGTTCTAGTTTATGATAAACATAACTAAATAGATTAAAATTTTGTTTTTTTTGCATCTATAAAAATTTGATAATAATTATCTTACTAGAAAAGTTGATCCATAATATAACGATATTCTCTAAGACGATGATCGGGTAACCAACAACCATAGATAGCGATTAAAATCGTTTGATTATCTTCGTCTAATCTGCCTGCTGAACTAATAACGTTCTTGAATGGAGTAATCGTTTTAGCGTCAATATTAACTGGAGTATTATCAATCAAACATGAAATTACACCAGCTAATTCATCGGAATCAACATTAGTATCATCTTTCGCGCTTGGTCGAAGAAGAGCTATAAGAGAAATTATTCTATTATTATTAGATCTACGGATGTTGCAAATATTTCTTTGCTTTTTCTTCTTAATAAGCAAAACATTTACTCATATTGATAAGTGAATAAACGGAAATTAAGAGACAGAACTTCCTGGAATAGTAACCACAATAGCAAACATGTTTCAGTTATAAATCTTTCTTTTCTTCGCTATCTGTTTATTATCTTGAGTATGCACATTCACAGTAACTAATTTCATTTGTGCACTGTTCAGAGAAGGCCGTTCTTTCTCATCAAAAGCAAATATTAAGAACATATTTTCTTGCTCGTTATATTTTCTTTGGTTTCATCTTTCTCTATCTCTCTGTTTCTTGTCGGAAACCCCGTTACCACCGCTTGATTGCTCGTCGGTCGCTCGTTTCCCACTCTTCTCTAGTCAACGAGATACAACGAGAACGACTTCATGTTTATGAACGGATGAAAAAGAAAGCATAGTAGAGATCCGCTATATTTTTTTTTTATTAACATGTCCTTTGAAGAGAGTCACATCGTTCATTATATGATTGAGTTGCGATGTGCTTATTTGAACTGTCAAAGACACGGGCACAAATAAATATTCCAGTTCTTATGCAAAGAAAAATAAATCTCATTTTGTCATTATTAGTTGTTTAAAGTTAGTCAAATATCAACTATATGATCGCTATTGAAGTAAAAATAATTTTCTACTTTTTCATATTCGATAAGACTAAATCTTTTCTTTTTTTTTGTTTTATTGCAATATTTTTAGGAACGAAAAAATATAGTCGAACAAACAGAACCTACTACTACTAATAATAATACATCACTACAGAAAACTTTACTACTTGGTTTTACACCTTTAGTTATAGCGATTTTATTATACATTAGTTTAAGTGTATGCATACAAGCATCACGTTGTTATTCAAATTGGCAACTTAAAAGACAATTAGAAATCGTTCGATGTTCTGAACAATGCCTCGTTGTTTCAAATCCGTCTATCGATGATTCCGACCAACAAGCGTTTCCTCAAGTCGTTTGATTCATCATGCAGAACACAAATACAGCTTTATGCCATCCATCAACGTGTATGTCATCATTTACTAGACAGATAAACGATGGAAACATCGCATGCTAAATTGTAATTCTCTCCCTCTCTCTTTGTCTCCCTCTGTTATAATCATAGATAGATCCCTATTGATGTGAAACTTATCTGCTAGGCTTCTTCTATCCTGTTTCTGTCTATTTCCAATATGTTCTCTGTTGTTGTTTTTTGTTATTATTATCATTATTGCCTTTTTTCTTTTGTTTTTAACACTTCGTTAGCATATTCTAAAACTTAGTAAAGTTCTACCAGTATTTCATTGTTTATATTTCGATTACGCACAGAAAATAAAAACAAAAAGGAATGTTTAGCAAGTAAATCTCTTTTTTTTCGCTTGTACGATTAATCATTGGCCGTTATCGAGAAAGTCACTAGTTCTTTTTTTGTTTTCATTAATATACAATGGAAGATTGCTCGCAAGAATGTCTACGTCGAGCATTATATGCGGTTTTACTGGGAATATCGCCTATTGTTATATGTCTTTTACTGATTGGCCTCGTTCGAATAATGTTACATGTTTTTGAATTAGTTTTCTCGCGACATCGAAAAGAAGGCAATCGTCGTCGTTCATCATCCGCGTATTATCACAGTGGTCGACCTACTCTGCTATATACGCCGGTATCTATTACAGAATTACATCGTATTATTCAAGGTGATTATTATAACCAACAGCCGCCGGATTCATCATCGGCACCAAATATTGAAAATAATGCGCATAAAACACCAAAATTTATCAAATCCCTATTATCAAGACGTGATTCACCACCACCATCATCATCCGGCGCTATAGCAAGTCTTATCGGTCGTCGTCATGGTATTAATGCGATTCCGTTTACAGCATTGCTGGTACCGGTTTCAACGCCTTCGACACCGAAAATTGAAACAATCAATGAAAAAATGACACGACAACAAAGTTGTACATTTATTAAAAATGGTTCAATTGAAAAAATATCAGATACACCGCCGAATCGTCATTATTTTAGTTTCGATAGATATGATTCAGCTGAATCTGAACCAACAGAAATTCAACCATTATGTTTATCGCAAATGAGAACGATGTCAGCGACAGCCTCATTGGCTAGAGAAAAAGAGGCTCGTGAATTTTATTCGGCTAGTTCAATACCATATGCATTCGATTAAATTAGTTCAATTTTAGACTGTGATTTTTTTTTATGTGAAAAAAAACCGTAACCTTCACAACTAAATCATGTTCTTATTCTTTAAATTTTCTTTTTGCTCACGAGAGAATACGATGCACATCATCGATACAATCATTGAGTATGCGTGTGAACTACGTAACAGCGATAGTGAGTGAACAGTTATCGGTCAAGGTTCTTTGCTTCATCACACTGATGCTCACTATATGTGCATGATGATGATGATGAAGAAGCTTTCAATCGATTTTGTATTGACCATGACTATTCATACAAATATGCGTCTTCCTTCTTGAGTTTATATTCATTTTTTTTTCTTGGTGACCAAACGAACGTAAGATACATTCTATCGTAGTATCCAATGGCCAGCGATACTCTTCTCATCTCAACATCATATCATAAACCTATTCCAGTTTGTCGAAAATCAATATTAGAAACAACGAATGTTCGTAGTGAAGATGAATTGCTTAAATTTTTTTTACATGGTTCATACGATGTACAACGAGGTTATATGCATACCTGTCAAGCAGAAGAAAATATTGAGAAAGCAGTTTGTATCAAAGACGACATAATGACTGCTGAAGATAAAATAGCAAAATCTCGTTGTATGTTCGAAGAAACTTATATGATTAATATATCCGTTAAACAACCTGATGCAACACCAAAATCGAAACAAATTGATGTACGTATTGAAAAATCACCAGCCGATACACAGGTTCCTGATGAGAAAATTGATGGTGGTGGTGGTGGTGGTGGTGGTGGTGGTGGCGCAGAAGATGATGATGAAATTTCAAGTATATTTGATGAAGATGAAAATGGCGAGATGGATAATGTTATATTCAATGAAATGAATTCTTCAGCAAACGAAAACCCATCAACAAATTTAACACTAGCTGATATGATCAATAAAACACTAACAACAATTCCTACAACATCAGTTGATAATCTCAATAACTTGAACAAAACTAATAACTGGTTTACTGAACAACAACAAAATGAACTTAAACCACGTCCAGTGAGTGAACATATTTCATCAACAAAACCAGTTGAACAGGTTATTAAAACACCACCTCCTACTAAGTCATTGCCATCAATGATTCAAACACCAACTTTAACAACAAATAGAAGTGAAGATGAAAAACTTTTCGAATATCTCGATTATCTTGAAACCAAAGAAGAATCAAATCAGCCTATAACACCAGCAACAGTAATTTTAAAAAAAAGAAAATCTTTATTTTTATTAATTCTATTTATCATCTTCTTAGACGAAAAATTCAAAATCAACATCACCTTCTGATAAAATTCCATTAAAACAATCTCAACAAGAACCAGTATCAATTATCGATCTCGAGCAACTTTGTCGTTTATTAACTGTTAGTGATTTAAAAGATGAATATATTCGAAAGAAAATCTTCGAATTAAAAATGTTAATTGATGAACGACATAAAAAACAAAAAAGTCAAATACCATTAGTAAAACCTCGCAAAGACAATCTACCAGTTCTCATCGCTATGCCACCAGTAATACAACAACAACAACAACAACAACAGCAACAACGACGACGAACAAATGTTGTTCAACCAACGGCATTACTTCAATCAAAAACTGTCAATTTATCAGCGCCTTATAATCCGCATTATCATGATATTTCATCAAATTACAACAATAATAAATATCTTTCTCCTTCTTCATCGTTAAACAATCAACAATATCCACGACATCAAATATCATCAACAAAATATAGATTGTAAATATAACAATACCTGATTCAAATGGGAAAGCCGTTTGTATGTCGGTTTGACTACGAACTTTTGTATCAATCGTAGTTTGAGCAGTAGGAGTTAGTTCTGATTCTGAGCGTAAATTTTTTTTACTATATTGTGCATTTGTACTTGATGATGAAATTGCTGATTTTAATGGCATGTTATTATTTGAAGTATCTAATAAAACGTATAGATCAATTTCTTTAAGAGAAACTACATTTCTTTTCTACATACTTGATTTATCATTCAATGGTGGTAATGGAGGTAACGGGGGAGGTAAATCTTCACTTTCGGATTGAATCGTCATCATACGTGGTGCTACTGCAACTGAATCAGAAGGACGTTCAACCTTAAAATAATCATTTTTTTAACTGAACTTGAAATGATGGCGATGCATACTTTGATATCTGTTTCATTGATATTGACATAACTTGTTTGCATTGGATCAGTATTACGATCATTAATTGTTTCAAAATCTGTTGTAATATCATTGACTTCAATTACATCGGAATCACTAGTTGCAGATGATTCTGATGCACTAACATTACCTTTTAATGCTGTTTCTATTGGCAGATTTTCTTTATTAATATCTATGTGCGTATTTTCTCCTAATGTTTCTTCCGTGTTTCCATTTAATTTTTGTTTAGTAAAATAATTATCACAATTTTCAACGCCTGTCAGTGCATTAAATGAATCCGAGAAAAAGTTCTGTTGCAAATCAGATTTATCTGTCGTTGAAAATTCGTTGTCATTGAATGCTGCTGATAATTGACTGGCTTTCGTAAATGTTGGTGGAAGTTTTTCTTCAGTACTATCTTCAAGTTCCCATGGTTCATCTTTATTTGGACCATCGGTTTGCATAGTTTCAGATGTATTGTCAACGGTTATCCATGGTGAATTGTCATTTGTTAATTGGTGTGAAGACTCATCAACTTCATTATTAATTTCGGTAATTATATTAGAAAATTTTGATTCAATTTCTGACGTATCCAGAGGTTGATCACTAGCAAATGCTTCGAATTGCACTGAACGTGCATTATGTGAAAAGATATTATTCTCGTCATCGACTTCGAAGGCATTTGTTTCGGTTGGCTAGAAAAATAAAATTATACAGTTCTATTTTTATCCTTTTAATTATTCGAATAATAAGACATACTGCCGAGTCTTCTGCTTTTATTGGTTCTTCATTAATTTTTGTATGTTCGACTGTTGATGATTCATTCTAAATATATGTAAGAAAATCAGCATCATGCAAATAGAGAACAAAAATAACGTATTAAATCAAGTGTATATATGCAAATGAGCTAAAAACGATACAGAGCAATGTGGTTAATCAGTTTACCCATGCGCTTGATAGTATTTGATAAAATATTTATTCCAATTAGTTGAGAAACAAAAAAAAACAGATTTGAATACGCTAATTACCTTATGTAAATTAAAGAAATCTTCTTGAAACGAACTGTCATCGCCACTGTCATCTATGACAGGTGCTGTTAACGTATATTTCATCATGTTATTAACAGCCATCGCAGTTTTCGATGTGTCAGTTAATATGGGTGGAGGTAGATATTCACTGAGCGTTCCTGCTTCATCATCGTCTAGTTTCGTTGGATTACTTGCCGAAGAAAATAAATCCGATTCATCAAAAGTGTTAGAGAAAAATGACATAGGATCAACGTTATTATGGTGTTCTGCTGCTTTTGGTAACCATGAGTCATCAGAGGTTTTCGGTGTTTGAAAATGATGAATCCAAGTACTATCGATTTTTTCATCAGAGGGATCAAATTTCTCTTTAACTGTTGTTGCTGTTGTTGTTGTTGAATCATGGTCATTGATAATTGAAGTAAGATTTTCTGTTGGTATCATATCATTGATTTCTGATTCCGACGAATCTTTATCTTCATTGTAGACTTCAAATATTGCTTGGGATAATATTTGATCAACAAAATGATCTATTTGATTATAAGCATGATTAACTTGTTCAAGTGCTAAAGTTAAAATATGTGAAACTAATTTTTCAACAACATTTTGTAGGATAATATTATTTGGTGATAATTCATTATCTTCTTCCTCTTCTTCTTCTTCTTCTTCTTCTTCAATTTCATCTTCATCTTCTTCGTATATAATCATTGATGGTTGTTCATTGGTTGTGTTCATCTGTTCTAACTCATTAATTGGAAATAACTCATGATGTATTGCATTAATCAATGGATTTGCAACTGAATGATCAACATGTAATGGTGGCGATGGGATTGGATCAAAGGGCATTGCACACATTTGAATATCTTTTACAATACTTTCAAGATTTTGTGTTGAAGTATATGTTATTGTAGGTTCAACGTGACTTTGCTCACTTTCTTCGAGATGACTGATAATCCAGTCTAAGAAATTCTTAAGATCTGTATTATCTTCTGGTTCCATTTCGCCAAATAAAGATTCCCACGTTATGTTTGCAGGTGGTAAAATAGTATTACTAATGTCATTAACATTTTCATCATCAAATGGATTAAGTTTTTTTAAATTATTAGTATCATTATTTAAAAATGCATCCCATGAAAATGCATTCGCGTCATAATTAGTATCTGATTTAATTTCTTGACTACTCGACGATACAATCTGCGATACGGATTGATTCCATAAATCATCGAAATTATAATTGTCTAGTGGTTGTTTTGACGGAACATTTGAGTTTGGCTGCATTTTGAATTCTTTTTCATCAACAGTTTTTACATCAGTGAAAATATTCTCAAACATATCTGTCGTTGTTGTTGTCGTCGGAGCAAAAGGATCAAATAAATTTGTTGTTGATAGTTGAGTAAGATCATCATTCGATAAATCGTCCATATTTGATTTCTTATTTGATATTTGCAAAATGTCGGTAATTAATTGATTCGTTAAAACCGGTGCGCTGTCGTTTAGTTTGTTTGATGATAATAAAAGAATGTTAGACGACGACGAGGATGTATCAGGGTCGACAGAAGCGACAACGGAGTGTGAATCATTATTGAATAAAGTATGAGACGTTGTCGATGTTAAAGAAAAAAACGTAGTTGTTTTTTCTTCTCCTCCTTCTCCTTCATTCTCATATTTTTCCCCTTGCATATCGTGATCATTACCATCATCATCATCATCATTATGATTTTTATGAAAAATAATTTTTTTTTTCTCGCCTCTTTCTTCTTTTGATTCGTCGGAATTTTTTACAGTATCATTGACATATGGAGACGATAGTATTATAGGAGTATCTTGCCGGTTTTTCTTGTTTAATAATTCTGATTCATTTCCATTCGTGATTATGTTTTCAAATAGAAGCTCAGAAGAAATTCCATTTTGATTTGTACTTGAAGAGTCCAATGACATTTGCTGTTCGATTCGATTAATTTCTTCTCTAGGTGAAGTAGTATTAATTATATTATGTAACTGAGAAAGTGTTTTTGCTAATTCTGAATCGTCATCTGATTCATTGTCGGTACTCATGATTTGTTCGTATTTGTCAACGTTTGTAAATTGTTTCGCAACAACTTCGAAACTATTTGTTGACTGCGATTGCAACTGTTCTTTCCTTTGTATTATGTTAATATTGTCAGTAGCAGTATTGACGACATTCGCAGTCGCATTATTCTTTCCTTTGCCGCCGCCGCCGCCGCCGTCGCCGCCGCTGACGACGACATCGTCGTTGCTGTCGTCTTTGCTAAGGTAATTAGCTGCCGCAGGAGAAGGATTATTTGCTGTTGGTGTTGTTGTTGTTGCTGTTCTATATAAAGCATGTAATGAAGAGCTCGGCATTTTTTTGTTGTCTAACTCTAGTAATGAAGATGGTTGTTGTATATTTTGGTGATGCTCGCCGAGCGGTTCGTTTTTAATTTGATTACCAGCCGATAGTTGTGATGATGACCGGAAGGTAGCAGTAACAGTAGTTGTTTGCTTGGTTGAATCTGAATTCTACGACAAACAAGAGAAAGACAAATTGAGTTATTTCTCTTCGCCTAGTTAACTCATATATAGATAATAATGACAGTTTCCATCAGCTTACAATTATATAATCTGTCTTGCACTAAGAGAAGTCGTGTTAATAGTTGATTTTCTGTCTATATATATTTAAAAAAAAGACCGAAAGAAACATATCGAAGAATTTAGTGCAAGAAAACGAAAACTATGTTTTATCCTTGACTTAAACAAATGTTATTTTGATTGAAAAAGAAAAATAGAATCTCAACCGTTTGAAAATTATTAAATAAATATTTATTTAAGATTACCGCTTGTTCGTTGTTATTATTATTATTATTATTATTATTATCGTCGTCATGTTCATATAAAACTTCTTCGAATATTTTCGGATTATGCATAATAGCAATAAATTCATCATCATGATTATTTTCGTCAAATAAATGTCTCATATGAATAATATCATGAACAATATCAGTTTTTCGTTGTTCATGCATTAATTCGAATAGACCGTTTATATTTGACGATATCATGGGTAATACTGGTTGTTCAGATTGAAACGTTTGGAAATCATCATTTTCATCTTCATCATCAAGAGCAGCCATAGGAGCTACTTGTAAAGTACTTGATGCATGATGATCATCGTCCATAGAAGTAATAGGAACTATCTGTAGAGTTTTCGATTGATCAATATCATCATCATCATCATCAATATCAATAATAGGTGTTTCATGAGCAATGGGTGATGCTGAACGTACACTATCACTTTTACTAAATGAAGAAACTGATCGGTGATCATCAAGATTCACTTCTAGACGTAAATCTTCATTATCATCTTGATTGAATGTATTGCTATCTAAATTCATTTTATCATTTTGATTGAATAAATTACTATCAATATTAATTGTATCATCATTATTATCATCATCATCATCATCACTATCAGAGGATGTGACAAGTTCATCATCATCACTACGAAATATTCGAGCTTGATCATTATAACCAAAGCTTAAATGTGAAGATACGTGTGAACATCTTGAATTACTACGAGATGAGTCAATAAAATCGACTTGATCCATTGGATGCATTCGTAATATTAACGGATGGTCTGTTTGATTAGTTTGTGCATTAATATTAGACGAGTTCGTACGAAGAAGAGTATCATCATTCCAGTTAGTGACTTCATTATCATCATCAATATTTATATCATCATCTTGTTCATCTTGTAAATGTGATGAAGACAATAGAGAATCAGGCGACGACGATCGTAGAGATTCTGATTGATTGTACATATCCATCTGATCGAAAGGAATTCCATCGTCATTATCTTCATCGTGTTCATTGGGATCATCGATATCAGGAATATCTTTAAATAAAGTTGGCACTATTGCAGTTGTATCATGTTGTTCATCAGAAAAACCATTTAGAAATGAATCATCTTCAAGTTCATAATCATTGTGCGCATTTTCAACATGATTAATAAATTCATCCAATGATTGATCATGATCTCGTCGATTGCAATTTGGCTCATTATCGTCATTTAATTTTTTATTCATCATTACAGGTGCATGGCGAATAGGTATACCATCAAAATCATCTTCGTCATTATCGTCATCGATGTCCTCAGCAAGCTCCACAGGCGTGACTAATGATGGTGCATCTTGAATACTACTTGAGGCGTTGTTTTCACTCGTTAAAGCGTGATCATCCATAACTTGTTCTTGAGTTGTTGGCACTTCAATAGGCGAAGACGATGAAGAAGCGGCAAAGGCTGCTCGACTAAGCGGGTCTGAATCGGCAAATAAAAATGAACCAAACATTGGTTGATAAGATTGTTTTTTATTAACATCAGCTGCAACAGTATTGTATGACGGTTCTATAGGACATGATGTATTGTTTCCAAATATCGAGGGAAATTCGGCATAAAACGTGGTGAGATCCTCGACATCAGACGTCATATTGATCAGATGAACATTTTTCTTGCATTCGACGCGAAAAAGAACCAAAGAAAACGGATGGCGATAAAGAAGCAAAGAACGCGAAGAACAGAATGAAAAGAAAAAAGAGAGAAAAAAAAGTAGTGCAGAATTGACAATAGCTGAAAAAGTCGGACCGAAAAAAAATGATGATGAGTGTGAAACACGGAAAAAACTGCGGGCGAGCAATAAACAAGCAAACCAAGAGAAAGAAGAAAAAACAACAGCAGCAGCAGTAGTAGGTTATAGAACCGTCAAACACATTCTCTTTTTCTTCTTATTCTCTACGCTTTGTGCTAACGTATTTTTATACACACATTTCTTGCGACATAAAAACTGGCTTTCTTTCATGGAACTCAGACAATAATTCTTTGTCGCGTACAACTATTATATCTGTGAGACATATTAACAGATGAAAGAATGAAGAAAAAGAAAGAAAGGCATATTCATAGGAAAAATATTGATGGATATTTTCTTTTTCTTTTCCTTTTCATATACGCATTCTCGCTCATTTATTGACTAGTACACTTTGCTTGAGGGTAATCTAATCAGATAGGTAAATGTTGGCCAAATGACAGAGACGTATTTTTTTATGTGTAATTGATATGTATAGAGATACCAATGAAATAAATATCGCTGTATCGCCATAAATCCGTCAATCATTTATCCTTCACTTTAAACATGTTAAACATTATGATATTCGTCAAAATAGAAAACGATTAATTTTTTTCAATCATTTACACGTTCGTGTTTTAACTAAAATACCTTCGTCAACGACAAGAGTCATTGATGACTGATTAGTCATTGGCAGCATATATTTATTTATACATATATATTTATGCACGTAATAGAACCTACAGTCAACTACAATGATAATGGATAAAGAGGAAAAAATCGCATTAAGCGTGACATTGACGTGTGATGAACGAAATAGCCGGTTTTAATTTTTTTTTTCGGTAGTTCCTATATATATATTTAGCATGAAAGGTCACTGATGCGATGATAAATAAATCAATGCATAATTTTTGTTTTGTTATAAAATAAGAAAACATTATCATATTCTCATTTAAATTCTTCGAGGACTCGTAAAACATTAGTTATACAAAAGAGACTGTAGTTGGGAAGCAGATTGTTTCCCATTTGTTACATGTCTGCGCATGAAAGCAATCAGCTGAAGCAGCCAAGCAGCAATACACAAAGAAAACACTTACGACTTCTGAATCAAAATCACTTTTATTTATAGCAACAAAATCTGTATCAGAATTTGATGAAGAACTTGATATAATTGACAGCTGCGTTTCTGGCATATGTTTAATTTGTTCATCAGCGATTTCTTTAAGAAAAAAATATATGTATATCATTTCTTACAGTTGATTAAATAGATAAATTTTGTGTGTGCAAATAACCTGGAGATTGAGTTTCTAATTCATTTATCGGTGCAATTGGAGGCGAAAATCTTGTTTCATCCTCATTAATGCTATTCGATCGACTTGTATTAGGTGTTTGAATATTATCGCTGCCCCCATCATCATCATCTCTCTCCATATTATTAACTGCACTCAGTTAATCTAAAAAAAAAACAAAGGCCGGAATACATAAACTTTATAATTAAGAGCAAACGCCTCTAGGGAATATTCTCAGTATATCCTTCAGACTACATATTTGTTTCCTTCAGATCTTCATGAATGATTTCCTAGATAAACAGAGAACCGAAGCGCAAGCATCCTTTCAAATCACTGTCTAATTCATTATTAGGCATGCAACATAAACAATGGAAGAATTTATTTTCTAAAGAATTCTATGCCCTTACATATAAATGAATGTTATCTTCGCTTATGTATCAGGTAGCGATACGAAAATGTAATACCGGTCTTTGAAACAACAGACAGGTGTATAGAAAATGAATCGACACTTATGTATCAACATGCAAATTACATACCTTATCACATGATATTGCAATATCACATTGTTACTTTTAAAAGATAGTAATAAGAGAAGAAAAACAAAAACTACGACCGATATGTCTCTTCCGACAGTGTTCTCATGTTTATATTTAATAATGCGAAAGAAGTTGAAACATTGGTAAATATGTTTTTTTTTCTTCTAATAACTTTATTTTGAAAGTTGATATTCATAAATGCAAGTAAAGTATGTTAGCAAATGAATATGATCTTGAACAAAGACAAACATTGCCATATTAAAAGAGAAAAAACGATGAATTCGATTTCAATTACGAATAAATAATTTATTATATTTGTATCATAATTTATATGCACGAGAAATCATGTTAAACTTGATGAGAAATGTGTCGGAGCATGTGGATATAATTATTACCACAAGACTGATTTTCTTTATTGAATCTCAAGTAGTGGAAAAAATTGCGAACAAGCTGAAAGATTTTTATGAAAATTGCCAAATCCTATTAGTTTACAGAAAAGTTTTCTTTTTCTATAAAATAAATAAAAAAAAAGGAAAGCTTCTAAACTTTAAAATTTGTCGTTATATAATATTTAAGAAATTTTATTTGCATGAATATTTTCATTCTTGATTCATGTAAGTACACGATTTTGAAAGAAATCCTTTAGAATTATGATGGATTACAATGCATTAAACAACAATGAATACAATCAAATCAAACATGAAAGTAAAGCAAATATAAAATGCACGCGGTATTTAAAACATCACTCTTTATTTCTGCTCCTTCCTTTTTACTGTTATTTCGGCGCAATTCAAAAGATAAAAGGTGAAGCTTATCGGCTTTATTAATACGTCGATATGTTACATGCAAAATCGATTGCATGAGAAGTTGTTCAATGTTTCAAGGCTGATCTAACAGACAAAACAGTCTTGATTCCGGGGGGTACGCAGGTAAGCCGAATTCATTAGTAACTACATATGAAAATAATCGCTAGTCATTTATCATAAAAGGTATTGGACTTGAAACAGCACGCGTACATGCCATCATCATGGGACGTGATATGATCAAAGGTAAAAATGTTCTTCAAGACCTTCGACAATCAACGGAAAATGAACAAATTAGAATTAATCGAACTTCATCTGGATTCATTAGAATCAATCGATCATTTGCTGGAGATTATATAAAAAGAGATTCATCGTTACATGTATTGATTTGTAATGCTGGTGTTGGTACTGGTACTCGTAGATTAGCAAAGGATGGTTTTGAATCCGAAAAATCCCAAAATTGAAAAGCATTCCCCTTGTTAACGACGTAGTTAGTTTCGACCTGAAATTCTTCCGATGTATAAGTTTCATCATGCATTAGCACCTGAATTAGAAAATAAATCTGGTGCTTATTGTCAAGATTGTGCTAGAAGTCCACGTCTGGTTGTAATATCTACTCCTTTACATTATGGTACAGCCAAACGTGTATGAGAATTAACTGAACAATTAGTAGAAAATTTTTTAATATAATAAAAAAATGAAGTTCGTAATAACTTCTAATGCGTTAAAAACTTGCGAGAGACGATTATAAAAAGTCAAGGAATCATCGTTAATTGTAAAATCACGCTATTTTCTTTATCTTTTATTTTATCGATGTTGGCACATAGTTAATTTGTTTACCTTGAATCCATTAGGCAATTGTTTGTTTTTATAGAAAGACTTTTATTTGACGTTGTACTCTATACATATGTGGTGAATGTACATGATACAAAAACAAATAACTATTATTCGTTCCAGAAGTCAAGGCAGTCGGTTGTTTTTTTGAATAACGTTTGATAGGAACAAGATAGAGACCTGCGGTTTTCACTGTTTGATAGCCAAGACACAGACGCATATGTTCATAAGCAATTTTCAGAGGATCACTGGAAAACCACTCTGGATTTCTGGTAAGTGTTATAGAAGTCTATAGATTTCCTTACGCATTCGGAATCAGCATTAAAAACTGAGCCGACCAATACATATTTCGATTCTTTCACGAACTTTTGTTTTCGCCGGAAAATTCACCCCTGTGGTCTCGCTCAGGAGCCGGTCAAAAAGTGAACTCCATCAAAATTCCATTTGGACAGTAGGAAGCAGGTTCCAAGTTTGTAGAATGCACTTACCAGAAATCCAGAGTAGTTTTCCAGTGAGCCTCTGAAAATTGCTTATGAACATATGCGTCTGGATCTTGGCTATGAAATAGTGAAAACCGCAGGTCTCTATCTTGTTCCTATCAAACGCTATTCAAAACACAACCGGCTGCCTTGACTTCTGGAACGGATAATAGGTATTTTTCTTCGAACAATAGTACAAGAGAAATGAGCATTTTTGTCCTTGGAAAACATTGAAAACTATCAATTTCGCCGAATATCTTTGATTTCTCTCATTCAAAAGAGATTCAGTATAGATCGAATTTGATCGATATGTAATTCAGTTGCGAATATGGTTATTGATAAACATAGACAACCGATTTTATTTGTTTTTTGTATAAATTCCTGCAAAGAAGATACAAAATATATCTACATGTTTTAAATCAATTACAAACCCATGTTCGATCAAATAGAATAGCAAAGATAAGATAATCTTGAACACTTATCGCACTTAAATATCTCCATAAATAAAACATTAATATTGTGAATGGTGAATGAAGAATGGTCATTTGTAAATCCTAAATTTTCATTCAAAAAAACGGTAACAAATCTGTAAGTCTACTAAAAATAACTTATTACTTGTCTTCGCGATTGATTTATATATGAATCTAGTAAATCTTCGTATGCTTGCACCTCTCTATTCCAAAACATTCCTGCTAATGCATATCGTACAGACAAAATGCTTAAAGCAATAATTATTCTTGCTTTTGTCTCGCATGTATTACTATTGATGCCATTGGTTGATTGTTGTTTTTGTTCATCATCCAAATTTAAGATAATTAAATCTGCTTCTTCACTTTCATTATCACTGGATCGGCTCATTCGGGTTGATAATGTTTGATTGATTTTATGGGTTATTGAACGTAATGGTCGTTGTTTAAAAAAATGAAGTAAACATCCAACAATCAGACATATCCCACTTAATACATCAGTTATACCATCCATATAATAACCCAAATTGCCACGATAGGATTTATAACGTAGATTTTTTATACGTGCGCGGAAAACAACACCATCGAGACAGTCAAGAAAATTACGAAACTCAAAAATTAAAACACCGATGCGTCGCTGCAGTAAGGAATCACTTGAAAAGAATTTTATTGAGATTATTGATAGAAAACAATGAAACATTGATATGGCATTTGGTGATATGGACGGGAAATAAGAAGTAAAATACAGGTCGGATTCAACATATTCAGCTAATGGAGATCGGACATATTGAGTCTAAATATTCAAAACAAATATGATTATCTGTATTTGTCTATAAGCAAGACTAGATAAACTACCCATGTCGCGAATACCGCTTCAATTTTTGCGGTAAACCGCGGTAATTTTAGAAAAGCCGTAAATTTGTATGAAATGGGAGCCGGTAACCGGAGCGGTAATACCGCGGTTAACCGCTAGTNAATAAAATCCAATTTACATGCGGTCGGACAATTTTGGCAGCCACTGTATATGAAAAAAAGATGCCTAAAATAGCCCGATCAATGACTTTTAGCAACAATTTTTTATAGACGCTCAGCGAACCGGTTAATCAAAAAATACCGGCGGTAAACCGCGGTAAATTTGTGTTGATGGGAGCTGGTAACCGGAGCGGTAAAACCTCGGTAAACCGTCAGTTTTACTCCGGTTTTCCCAACATGGGTAGTGTTTTTGTAATCAGTCAAATGATACCCAAGGTAAAAGAAAGAATTAATTTTTGTTTATATTGTTATTATTGGTTGATTGCAAGGACTCAAACTGAGACAACAAGTCAAATAAAAAAAATCGGTACTTCTTCGATCGGAAGGTTTAAAAGAGAGACAGTCTTTTGATTCATTACTAATGTTTGATTACAGCGTCGTTTTCTTTACGTTATTGATCGAAAAAAAGCTTTTTTATTGACTCTATTTTTAAAAAAATTCCGAGAATTTCTGATTCAATCAACTGTCTCAAAAGACCATCATACGGGGACATTTTTCTAGACACTGCCAAATGACGATTCTATTTATTTCGTACACACTTTTCTCAGAGAATAAATCGTAGATCGTATCACGAGCCAACGGAAATATCACCATTGATATTCTCACTTCGAATAAGAAAAACTATAAAACAAGCTGTACTTCTAGAATAATTCAAAGTTTTGTTTAGTTAATTTAAAATAGACTATCTGTGGGTATTAACATCAAATGAGTCTGCGTGGAAAAATCAAATCACAAATACTTCAAGATACAGGTGTGAAAGATAGCTCTGATTTACCATTGTACTAATCTGCAGTATTGCGTTTGCGCTTTTGCTTCGTACTATACATAGCTTTCGCGGAAATTAACAAAATAACTTTGATCATCAGTTTAATATAATGCCTATAGCATGATTAATACATAAATGTTTTGTATCGATTCGATAATGTCAACAAGACTTTCTTTTCGTGCATATTCAAAACAGAAAACACTTACAATTTGTCCCACCATGATCCTTTTGACTGGTAATGAAGCAAAAAGTTTTAAGTTTGTGTCACTGGTTGTCTGCGCATTTGCATGTAGCGGTCCTCGCGAACGTATTTTACAATAAAGTATCATATCCATGATTTGTAAATATACAACAAATAGTAGCAAGCATGAATAAGCTGGATATGCACGAAGAAGATGAAATGTGCGAATGCACAAATGCCTATGTTGATAAACAGATCGCGTTGAACTAGCCCCGTTATTTATTTTACGTATATCAACAGCCATCTACGGGTGTTACTCACAACATCAAATGAAGACACTATATAGAAGGAAAATATTCTGCAGCAATTTTATACGTTAAGCTAAAGTAAATAAAAGAAAAGCATAAAGTCCTTGACATCAGGCCATAATCAGCTGTTTTTCATGTAGCGACTGTTAACAGTCGAATTGTTCGTTGTTCTCTTTCTTCCGCTAGCCATTGAAGCGCATAGAGCGAAGAAGAAGGAGAGGAAGAAAAACAAATAGAAGTTTTCAGAATACCCGATTGAAAAAAATGAGGTGATTCTCGTATGATTTTTATCCTTGATCATCACACGGGTACACTTCTGATTTACATCTGTCTATTTACCAAGTACGGCGATTTATTGTTTTTTCTTTTTTTCTATTTCATAATAAAGTGAAAGATTTCTCCACAGTGAATTCGAATTGAGTAGAGAGAAAGCGATCTTTTTTTTCCGCGGATTCAGTCGAACATCAAGACACAGTCATCTACTCACTCATAAGAATTCCCATTAAATTAGTTTTAGATTCTCTCAACTTTCTGGTTCGAATGAAAGCAACTGGACAACTATTAACGCCCATCGTTGATTAATTGAAGTTCTTGATTTATATGCCAGAGGAAAAGATAGAAACAAAAGATTAGTAATAGCGACTGCAAAAAATTATGAAAAATAAAGTGCAAATGATTAAGACATCTTTTATTCTGTTGGTGGAAGAAAAAATATTGATGAACGTATGAATTCAAGCCCATTATATTGTCGGTACATTTATTCTCATTGGAGTCTCGTCTATAGAATAAGATTCAACAAACATAAGTTGTACTCAAACGTAATTGAAGGACATTGCTAAATAACTGTTATAATCAGAAAAAGTATTAAAAACAAAATTTTGTTTATTCGAACAGGCCTTTACAAAGTAGCAATTTTTCAACATTTTATTGATTGCATTAATCCTATAATTCTTTCTCCGTGCCTATTTATGTAGTACGTTCGAGCAATTATGTATAATTATGAAACTCTATTCTGCAATAGTGCTTTGTTACTCGATTTTAGATCAAATGAATCAATTTGTTTTACAACCAGCGATACGAAAAAAGAAAGAATTTCTAAGCAGTTTCATTTAATATAGTAATCGTTGGAAAAGAAGTACGTTGTTTAAACGAATCTGGATCTAATTGAAGTCGATTGGGTAGACTTGGAAAATAAGACGGTTGTTTTCTATCAAATATTTGATCGAATTCCATTTGGAGATGTGTTTCACGTGCATGAATTTTTGATGAATTTGCTGAACCATAGAGCCATTCAAGTTCTAGTTGACGTAGTTTTGACCGATTCAAGGGTGGCAATTTACTTATAGATTGAATACTGGGACGCACTAGAAGATGCGTGCATAGCTTATGAGTTATTTTTATGAAGTAACAAATGAGAAGTGCGCTGTGATTGTACTACTTACTTTGCTCGCCAGATATTATTTCAAATTGTTCTGCGTCGCTTTTCTCTTGTGATTTTTCGGTTTCTAAAATACGAAAAGAAAAGAAAGCTATCAACATTTTAAAGAGATCGATAGTGAATAATGAACTGTTGTAGAATGGCAATTTCAGAAGGATTATTTTTTTGTAAATCAAACAACTGTACTGTACTAACTTCGATTTGCCTTATGATCGCGTGAGAGACGATAAAAATCTAGTAGATCATCATCAATTGTAAATTCAAGTGCTTTGTTGTCTTCTTCATTCAACGTATTCTCGTACTCGCTGGTTATCAATGTTGGTGGACAATTATTTGTATTTCCTTGAATCCATTGCATAGCTGCCTGATAATTTTTCCAAAAAGTTAAATCATTATTCTCCATTTTAGAATTGTCTAAAATTATACTGGACATATTTGTTTTTCATTTCATTTATATATGAAAGTGCAATGTACTTAAAAAAATAGATATTTATTCGCATAAGATCTATTGAACAATATTACAACAACAAGAACAAAACGAATAATTCTTCATTTCGCCAATTCAAAAAATATAAAACAACGATTGAATCAAATTAATATGTAGTTCAGTCAAAAATATGACTGTTAATAAAGATATCCAGCCAAGTTTACTTGTTTTCTGTATAAATTCCTACAAAAAAAAAATGAAAAAATATATCTATATGTTTTAAGTCAATTACACACCCATGTTCGATCAAAGAAAACAGCGACTACAAGATAATCTTGCACACTCAATGGACCTAAATATCTCCATAAATAAAGCATTAATATAGTTATCCGTGAGTGTAGAATTGTTAATTGTAATTCCTAATTTTATTCAAAAAACAAATGAATCTTTAAGTATAATAAAATAGTCACTCACTAGTTTTCGTGATTGATTTGTATATGAATCTAAAAGCTGATCATAGATAATCACATGTTTATCCCAAAATAGTCCTGCTAATGCATAGCGTAAAGAAAAGAGAATTAGAGTGATAAATTTTGTTCTTTTTGTTTCGACTATATCGCTACTTATAACATCACTTGTTTGTATATTTTGCTCGTCCCCAATATTTAATATAACGGAATCTGTATCATCACTTTCATAATCATTCGATCGGTCAGTACATTTTGATGGTGCTTGGTTGATTTGATCTGTTATGGGTCGGAAGGGTCGTTGTTTGTAAAAATGAAGTAAACATCCGGTCATAAGGCATATTCCAGCTAACACATCACTTAAACCATCCACATAATAACCAAGATTTTCATTATGAGATTTCGAAACTGAATTTTTCTTATGTGCACGATAAACAATACCATCAAGGCAATCAAGAAAATTCCGACATTCAAATATGAAAACACCAATACGACGTTTTAATAACGAATCACTTGAAAAAAATCTTATTGAGATTACGGATAAGCAACAATGAAAAAATGATATGGCATTTGCTGATATAAATGGGAAATAATCGGTAAAATGAAGTTTAGATTCAATTAATTCAGCTAATGGAGATCGAATATAATGAGTCTAAATATAAAAATGGATATATGATTATCAATGCTCCAAAGGAGAAAGATGCCATAAGCTACTGTTTGTTTAATTACTAAAGTTTACGTGTAGAAACCTTGTAAAAAAATTAATGCTTAGTTTCTGACGGTACAGAATGTTTTGTTTTGTCCACGTAAAATGAATCAAAATCAATATAGATTAGTTGCCCCTGAAGCTAAAATAACACACAGAATGGACAAAAACAAGGTGAAAATTTCTTTTAACTTTCTTATTTTGAATTCAAATCAGCGGTGTCTTTGGTAACGATTCATTTGAATAAAAATAATATAATTTCATAAAATTGTTTTAATACTTGAGTATAATCTCTGTTCTAGTTTTCGATAACAAGCTTGGTGACACTATTTTTAATTATGAGAATTGTGGAGCGTTCATTTCACCTTGTTATTTTTCAAGAAAAAAATTAAATGCCATTCCAGATCGACATCAACTGTAGTTTCACACTATTTGATGTCCTCGCTTTGAAGAAGATCGAGTACACCTCAACGATATTTTAGAAGGCGCTCACGATTGAATCAGCAAGAATTTAATTAATGTAAATTTGACTTGCAACAAAAGATTCTAGAGAATCTAAATATAGTGGAATAGTATCTTAGAGGAAAACCGTTCTTCTATAGGCCTGAGATTTTTCTATGGACACGCTTAAAGTTTGTAATAAATGAGTAGAGGATTGAAAGTATTCAATTTGTGGCCTCTTTTCTTGATAGATTAATAATTACTTCTAAAGTTAAAACACTTACAAAATGTCCAACTATAATATCTTTGACTGATAATGAAATAAATTTGAACAATTTCGTGTCATTATCTATCATCGTATTTGAATGTAATGGTCCTCTTGAACGTATTTTAAAATAAAGTATGATATCCATGATTTGTAAATACATAATAAATAGTAACAAACACGAATAAATTGGATGTGCAACAAGAAGATGAACTGTCCGCATACAAAAATGTCTACGTTGATAAGCAGATCGTGTTGAACCAGTCATGTATTAGTATTATTAAGAAATTCAAATGAAAATAGCAAATCTCTTCTTCTACAAATTTATATGTGTAACCGATGAAAAGAAAAGCAAACCGGCTTCTGACATTAGGTTGTAATCAAATCACTGTTCTTTGTTAACAGTTGATTCACGAATTTGTTGCACAGCTTCTTTTCTCTTGATTTGATGAATAACTTAAGAATGAAAAAACTGCAAACAAAAGAAAGGTTACACATCTTGCAATGACGCAGTGAAAGCAGGTTATTATCTGATTGTGGCAACCATACATATGATCTGATTTTTCTGTTAACAAAGTACTGAAGTTTATTGTTTTCTTTTAGATGAAATTCGACTCAAAAGATATTTGTTTAGTCTTCTTTATTAAAATTAGACAAATATCTCAGTGATGTAAAAACACTTGACATAGTGAATACCATTTAACAGAGTCTTTATGTAAAACTTACTTTAGTCAAAATCCATTATCAACAGACGATCGATGATGTGTTAATATTAACTAGTTTAGACACATAAAATAGAGAACATAAATTTGTTGTTCATTTTCATAGTTCTTGAAAACTATTTTTGTTGATAGTGTAGAGTTTTGATCGGGCAAAAAAAACCACAAGACAAATATTAAAACCTATACTTGAATAGATTGAGTCCTCGATTTATATTCAAGATAAAAAAAAGAAAAGGATAAATTAATAGTAGCAATTAGAAAAAAAAGAGTAAATAATGATAACGTTATATTTTGTTTCTATTCGTTTTAGAATAAGGATGGATAAAGATATTAACTTGTATCCATTGTAGTATCGGATGATTTGTTATAATGTTTTTTTAATGCTTGCGCAAAAGCTTGTAAATCACCTTGATTAGCAGCTTTTATTACTTCATCTGAAAAACCAAATTGAACGAGCACAGGTCCTAATTCACGTGACTGAAGTGCAACGCTAAATTAATACAAACAGGAAAAGCACTAATTACAAAAAAAAAGATTACGCTAGTCTATTAAACAGACCTAAATGCGGTTACAGCTTGTTTAAATTGCGGTGTTTGAATCGATTCTTTTAATTCTTTTTCTGTATTGAGTAGAGTAGCACCTTCAGGCAAATGAGTACGTATTTTTTCTTGCACGTCTTTATTGCTTAACAATGGAATTAAATTCTAGAATGAAAATTTTTTAACATCAGAAATTCAGCCTGAGTTCTTTTGAGTAGAGATATCTCTCAAAGCTAATGTTTTTGTAGAATATAGCAATATTACGGTAGATGATAGAGAAATTACTTGTACTTTAGTTCTATGTATGGAGTTTTATGAAAAAGTAAATCTTTGTTTAATCAGGAAACCTATATTGAAAAAGATTATATTCTCTTCTTATGAAACAGTTGTATGCACTTGAGCTACGACTTAGATTCATTCCTAATATTTTTAAGACGGCAGAAAGTTAAAAACCATTTTTTTCAATCATTTCAGTATAGATCTGGTTTTTAGGCGAGTCAAGACGAAAAATATAAGTCTTGTTTCGAAATTCATGTAACTCTATCGAACGTACTTCATTATTGACTATATCACAAAGGTCAATAGTAGCTGGAGATGCTGCTGCTGTAGTTCTTTCAGTAGTGCTAGTACCCAAATTAGCGAGAACACTTGTCAGAGCACCCATCTGAATAGAACCATTTTTTGTTCCACCAGCTGCTGCTGCACTAGTAGTATTTTTAGGAGCTGCTGCAGCAGATGATGATGAACTTGTTCCACCATTACGTGGTTTTGATGACGAGCCACTACTACGACTTGTTGATGTAATTGCTGTCCCTCCACTATGTGTACTAGCTGGTGCTGTATTTGGACGAGAGCCAGCTGTATGTTGATGTGAGCTACTAGAAGATCTACCACTACGATGAAGACCTTGCATCAAGCCAGCAGCACCACTACCACCACCAAACGAAGAAAGTAAGGATGCAAAATCTCTTGGATTCATGCCTATCAGAAAGTATCATTTTATTTCGAACAAAACAAAAGCAAGTAGATAATCGAGTTTTACTTCCAAGAACATTGGATAAATCACTTGGGTCAATACCACCTGCACCACCAGCCATTCGTTCCATAAGTGGTTGCAGCAAGTGATTACTACCCGCGCCACTGCTATCGTCACCAAAGCCAGGTGTTGGTGGATGATTAAGCTAGTAAAATAAACATATATTAAATACAATAAGCGTTTCCAAAAGAAAACAACAACATACAAGTTCATTTATCTTTTTACAAAATTCGTCATCTTTGTCGTTCTTTGGTTCTTGCATCCAAAAAAATAATTTACGTGCATTAGTTCTCCATTTTAAAATAAATACTCGTCCTAGAATTGAGATGTATATTTTTCGAACTCATACAAAATCGTTGTTATTCTCGTTTACCTGTTGTATTTTGTGTCACTTTTTTAAATTCAATTTCATCTGGAAATATGACAAGATCGTCTTCAGCTGAATTATTCGATCGATCTTTCCAACATAAATGCATCAACATATCATTGCCTTGATATAAATAAAGAAGTCCTTTTCGTTTATCTGGATAAACCTATGACTCAAAGATATAAAGAATAAAATGCTCTGCTTTTAATAGCTTACCATGTTTCCACGAAGATTCATTTTGCCAGCTTTAAATTCAACTAAATTCCTACTACGCGCCTGAGACGAAGCTCCGCCGAAGAGAGACATTTTGTGTAGTATTAGTTTGCAATCAAGTAAAATGCGATGAAAATCTATTCACGCGCAAGTCATGATAGACAAATATACACCTTCGGTTTGATTGGTGCAAAAGTATCATGATTGTGAAATTATTTCCACCTATCAATTCGAATTAAGAAATAAAGATTTAAACAAGAAAAATGTTACACACAGAAAGCAAGTAATTGTATTCATCCATTCAAAAAAAAAATGTCGCAGGAAATTTGTGAAGACTATGCGAAAGATTGTGGCTCCCTCTTGAGTATAAGATGGTTTTGGACAAAACCTAAATTTCAGTGATTGTATGCATTCTGAGATAGTTTCTCTGTTTACTAATAATTATAGGTAAATTAAAGACTCTCATGTTACAATTAAGTCTCACCAAACACTGCAGTGAAAAAATCAATAGATGTACCTTTTTTCTCTGTAGTGCCTCCGGGTCCGACAGGGATTTCACCGGAATTCAAAGGAAAATAGTCCAGTCGTTTCCTGCCGGATGATTTCGGGTTCACTTGGGTTAGTCTTAATGTATCCCATTTTTAATTGAACCGAACTTTTCCCCCAAAGCTCGATTCCGAAATCGTCCCCACTCTATTTGACATTGAAATGTTCATTATTCGCTCTGCTGTCTACACAGCCAGTGGTAAGGACAATCGGATATTATAATCTGGCAGCTTGTAAAGCAGATAGATGTTATGGTCTACAGCTGACTGATCGATATTTGTTATTTGTAAACATAGTTCTATGATGAACAACTTAGTCAGATGGATTTAGTAATTGTTAAGACTAGTCATCTAAAATTATGATTTGTCTTCTGATACTAGTTTACATATTTCTCTGCGATGTTTCTATACATTTTTTAATTCTATCTTATTTTACGTATACTATAACTACGTTAGAAATTCATATTTCTTGAAATCAAGCACCATTTAATATAATTGGGAACGAATTTGGTGTGAACGAATTCGGAATCAATTAACGGGGGACCAACTAGGGGCATGCCATACACATGTATTTATAATTTTAATAGCTGCTCATCTTCTTATTATTTCAATGAAACTATTAAAAATAAAACTATACATCACTATGACCATCGATAGATTCAAGTGTTGATATTTTATCTAACTCTTCTGATGATGAAAACTAAGTTACTATTCTCTCTTCGTTAAATATATCTACTGTGGGCAATCATTGGTGGTGCAACTTCATCATAAACACCTCTTCTATTAGGGCTAATTTATTATCTGTTAATCATTTATCATGCAAATTTTCATATCAAATTAACTCTGAAAGATTCGATTTTACTGTACAAATCAGTATTTAAGACTGAAAACTTATACAGAAAGATTATCATGGTAATTAGTTTCTAATTGAATAAAAGAATAAAAGACAAATGCGTACTGCAGGGTAGATATTTCATTGCGGAAAGGAAAATGTTAGCTTTCTTTTTTCATCAATATTAAATAAACAAAAATTGGATTTTATGAATTGTTGTTGAATCGAACGAAACTCTTTAAAATTAATTCTATAAAGGCATGCAACATGAGTTTAAGAGTACTTCTTAACCACAGTAACACATAACCATTGTTATTATCATTTAGCTATTATTCATAGACGGTAAGTGCCGACACTTACTAGTGGTTGTTTCGTGATTTCAATATATTCAATCACGCATGTTTACTGCAGCTTGTACTAGTTAAACTAGCCATTTCCTACTCGCTGGTAACAGAAACACTATACTTATTGGGAAAGTAACAATAGTATAAGTTTTCAAGTGAAAATTTTTTTTTTCTGTTAACCACAGATAAATGGAAAAAAATTATTTAAACGCGTCTGTGATCATTAAATGTCTGCCTGGATATTCAGCAAATATCGCACTTCAAAAAGGTTCAGTACAACACTTTGTTTTTGGAGATCGTGGGTGTGGATATGAGTGAAGAGAGAAGGATTACACCCACACCCACACCCTTTTTTCTTCAGCTACTTCTGTTTACTCTTTCTTCCGATCGAGTGTTAATGTAAGAACAAGCGAAACTTTGAAGTGTGGTGCGTCTGTTTTGCGAGCAAGCAAAAACGAATACTGAGCTAGATGAACGGGTGACTCTCTTCATACTGAAAATGGATGCTATCAGTCACTTTTAGTTTTTCACTTTTTTGATAGTTTCAACTCGGATATGGCGAACATCGATTGTGAGTGTTTTAAATAACACCATATCTTTTCTTATTCGTTGTCAATCGACAAACAACTCTATAAGCTCAGAAGGTTTAAAACAATATGAGACACTATGTTGGCCATCATAGTTAATATTCAAATACAAATATTGCAAGTAAAAGAATTATTCATGAATCACAAAATAGAAGTGAAACTGAGTAAATCACAGAGATTTTTATTCACAAAGAACGTTCTACAAAAAAGATGTTTATTGATGAACTTATAAAAAGCTTTTAAGGTTCAAGAGTATACCTTGATGGTTTGCTCCGAAGTCTCAAGTAATGCCAACTAAACCCCGAGAGCTTTGTAATTATTACTCAAAACCTTTTTTTGTGGGTTTGGGTTTATATGGTTTGGCCCACATCAACGCCTGCCCGTACAGCCATCTTAAAATTCACTCATTCGCACCCACACCCTTTTAAATATAATTTATTTCAATTTCTAGTATAAGATTAAGAAAAATATCTGACATATACGTATGCAATGATTCAGTCGTTTGTAGAGAGAAGAAAAATACATGTAATTGGTGATTGCACAATATCGAAGAAATCATTATAACTATAAATAAATAAAAATAGCTTTTACAATGAAGAAATAGTAAAGGCTATGAAGAATATGCCTGTTGAAAATGATATTTTTTCAAATAAAACTTCCCTTAAAAATATAAATAAAAATTTTGTCGATCTAATTAATGTAATTCAATCAGTTTATGAATCGGTATTACTATGTTCTAAAGAATCATTTGAAATAAAGGAAATATCATTTGAATATTTACAAGAATTTAATGGATCAAATCAAAATCAACAAATTGATTTATTATCAATGATAAAAGATTTTGAAAAATTATGTTTATTTTTGTCATTCAATCCAATGTCTTACGAATGTCACTATTTTATTGAAGAACTTTATCAATTAGCATTACATTCATTAACAGTTAAACAACATTTAAGTGAGTTTTTTGTTCATTCGATTTCAACATTTGATATGTATTTTTTCTTTTTAGCATATTATTGTGAAGATATTCTATTAAAATTATGTATTTGTTATGATGATGATCTTCGATTTGCTTCGTTGAAAATTATAAGTTTATTGATGAATGAAAGTCAACCAGTGACAAAAGAGAAAATTCTTTATTTAAACCGAATATGTTATGAATGTCTTTATGACTTTGATATTTATTATGATTATATTAAATCTTGTTCAATCGAATCAAGAATTATTCATTTAACAAAACAAGATTTCAATGATTTAATCAATAGACAATGTATTCGAAAAGATTTAGAACATGAAATAGTTGAATCGATTGAAGAATTAGGCGGTGATGTTTTCATTAAAATGCATAGAAGCCCAAAAGATGCTTATCAAAGTAATTTGTTTTTTTTGTGTTCATGTAAATCAACGTCTTTATAAATTAATTAAGATCTATGTAAAGAAATTAATAATGATTGGAATCGATATTGGAATTTAAAACCACACGAAGATCCTCAATTATATTTTATGAAAATTCAAAATATTTCTCAATTAACGTTACTTTTTAAAACAAGTGACCGTCTTCGAGAAGATTTTCAACAAATATCTTCTGATGGAAAATTAATTTTGCGAAAATGGATTCATCAGATCCCTAATGAATATCGATGTTTTATATGTAATAGACAATTAAACGCGCTTTCAGCATATAAATTAAATCCATATTCAATCAGCGATGAAAAGCAATTAGAAGATTTTATTAATTCAAAATCTTTTCAAGATATTATTTTAAACATTCCATATAGTCATGCAGTTATTGATTGTTTAATAGATTCAATTAATTATCAAGTAACTATTATCGAAATAAATCCATTTAGTAAAAGATCATCATCAGCGAAATTTTCATGGATCATTGATAAAAATACGTTGTACAATAATTATCTAATGAATCAATCTGTTTTTATTAAATTATAAACTTTTATTTTTTCAAAGAATTTTTCATCGTTTAATTTATTTAAATAATAAATGAATTCTATGCTTAATAATTAACTTCATCCTTTGTAATTTAAAGTAGTAGAAAATTTATACAAACAAATCAACGATTGCCAACGCATAGCCATCGGACAATGTAGATATCATCCGTATCCTCAGGACAGAATGACTGATATTTTTGCTCTGCTCTTCGTTCAGAAGAAATGAAATAGAATAAGGAAATATTCAGTTCATTTCGTACACAGTCTGATACGACTCTTCTCTCTGCAAGTAAATATGATGTAAACGATATGATACGTTCTTATATATCGATATTTCTCTCATCATTGTGCTGGAAGAATTAAAATTTTTATCTTTAGCATGATTTTCAAGTTAAATCTGTTCTTTTTTTATACAACGCTCAAAACCAATTTTGATTAGCTATACAAGTATTTAGATAACTAGATAATGCCAATATAAACACTTACAGGCATCCTAAAGATCAACTAGGATCCGCTAGAAGCCAGCAGGATCTACGAGGAGCTGCCAACATCCGGGAGCCGCTCTTTCCCCCTTGCAAAAATTAGTGATGTTTCAGTCTTACAATGTTTGTTGTTGTTGTATTCGATAACGATAATTGATCGAGTTTTTATGAGTAACATCATTATTTCATACACGGCTTATTGCATTACCAACCTAAAGCAGACCAGAATAGATTGTAACAATATTAATAAGATCTATAGAATCTATCTCTTTGCATACATGCCAATGACATTTTTCAATGAACTTCAAAATATATTTAAATATTTGGCACAATCGAAAGTCAATTGATTATTTGCTGAAAATACTCGTACTAGATAAGTATTAATAAATGAATTAGATATTTTTCTAGTTTCCTGTTTTTTTCATTATCATTAATTGCGTGTCATATGTTGTAGATGAGCATATAATGTGTACTGATTGCACTAATTCTTCTACTATATTACAAAATAGATCTTCATCTGTTGAAAGTTTCAATATAGTTAAACATTGTTTGACAATATGTGCTGTATTTGAATATCAAGTCTTATATTCGATGATGATTGTTTTAAATGATAGAGGGTAAAAAACAAAAAAGCAACAGTCCAACGATTATGTTAATTACTTTAGAACACGATAAAATGAAAAATATGAGCATGGTCATAATGCCAGACGTTGTTATATGATAGAGGAGATGATCAATTAATGATAAACGAACGAGAAGAGCTACACGAAGAACATGAAATGGTTCAAGAATATATTGAATGAATCGTTTTTCTTTGATTGATCTTAATCAAATAAAAAAAAAGCTGTTAGCGCAATCCCTGTGGGATTAAAATGTGAAACGCGATGAAACTCCTTTTCCGGAATCCTCCAATCACGGTCAATCATCGTCTGTGGAGCTTCTCTGTTACGGCCTGTATGATAATGTATGGAGTCTACAGAGAAATTTAATAATTAATTAATTAACTGATTAATTAATTTCTCTGTAACGGTCTGTGGGGGGGATGGGTCCAAATTTCTACTCTATATTTTTTCTATTAATTCTATTGGACATTTTACTGTAAACTCAATGCGAAAAAATTTTAATAATTGTATTAGTTAATATTATTTTATCGATTATTTAAACAAAAGAGAATCTTTTGATATATCAAAACTTGACAGATCATGATAGAATACAAAATGCAGCTGTTCTTCATTAGTAAATTTTATAGATTTATCATCAAGTCATGATAAAAATTATCGTTCATTTGGCGGTTCATATTTACACGTATTTGTTGCTTTTAGATAAATGAATAATAAGACAAGCACGAAAAAGAATTAAAATAGATTTCTTCATCGAAAAATACTAATTTATGATTACATTCTTGTGTTTTTTTTGAAAGGTGTAAGAAGTATACGTTCAATAATCAAAATAGCATGAAGAAGATTTCAATGATGAGCAACAGATAGAATTAATGAATCACCATCAATGAACAGAGAATATTAATTCCCAATGTATCATATGATAATCGAGATATTTGTTTAGTTTCAATAGATTAATGATGCAGCATGAGTTGATTTTTATTTAATATAAAGTGATTCAATTAAATAAAATTATTATATTTAAATTCTAAATGTTTTTTGTTCTTTCTTTATCGATATTTCGTCCTTATTGATACGGACATTTACGAGATAGATGATGTTTCTAGGATAGTTGCTGTTTTGGTTAAATTGTTCATAGATAGAATTAATTGATGTATGTTCACCAAAATCGAAACAAAGTACAAGAAGTGTTCTCCGTTCACGATGAAAACTTTGATCACGACTATTTCGTGCAACGCCTAATGTATTGATTGAGACACTTTTAAAATGTGCCATACGATCAAGATATGTTTCATTAGCATTATTATAGATTTGTTCGAAACTAGTTTTTTCGCTTAGTTGAATAAAACAAAAATGAGATGGTGATGTTTTTGTACATAAACTAATATTATCATTTTAATTTAAATTAACCTATGGAAAATTACTTGCACGAGATATTCTACCAGATAAATTCGATGAGATTTTAGCCTGGAAAATAATATATCATATATTCGACTTGTTGTTCTTACAAGCGTTGCTATCTGTCTACGAGATTTAAAATAGATTTTTAGTTTTGAAGAATGATATATGTTTGAGTTATTAGGGAATCGTTTAAAGTAAAGAATCGCTTTTGAGTCCGGGCTCCATGAATGGTGAGATATGACAAAGACCAAAATGATGAATGCATTTTACAAGAATCTAGGCTACAGAACGCGATGTATTAACAAATTGAATAGTGGCTACAACATTGAAGGGGACGTCTATAACGGAATTTTTAGATCTCATCAGAGTCTATCTCATGTGTCGAATCCGAACTTCATTCAAGTATATTGTAAGTGAATGATATCAAGGCCAACATTATAATATCATACAAATAATTCAAGGAATAATGATGATAATAATAATAATAATACTTGATAAGCGTCGAATTCTCATATGATACACGTTCATCTATCAAATAACTTTACTTTTTATACGTTTGCTAACATCATCTATGTTTTTCAACTTTCTAATGCTCAATTATATTCAAAATTCAATCGATTCAATAGATAATTAGCCGCACTCCATTATTTTGTTTCATAACGTTTGACATCTTTGAATCATCATTTGTTTGTCTTGATGGAATCATGAGACTTGTTGCTTTTTCTAGAACTATCAAAGAAAATAGATATGCTCAAGCTTTTTTTCTCTCTCCATATAATTCAAATTTTCATTTTAACATACTTTCTTTTGCTACTCGTCAACCATGACGTAATGATATTAATGTTTCAGCAACATCCTAAAAATATCATGTCTTCCTATTCGAGCTTGTTTACTCTACTTACTGTATGTTCATCAATTGTAAGTTGTACAAAATACATTGGCCTAGAAGAAAAATATTATAAACTCAAATAACTAATCCCGCCTTCTTTTTCCTTCTTCTAATAGTTACCATTGTAAAGTAGGTTGTACAATAATGCTTTTGTTAAAGTATCTTCATGAAATTTACAGACTAGCTTATTTTCTCCATGAACTATTATTATCACCATTCAATATCATCTGCCAGAACTATAACGTTTTTATTCGAGCACGGATACCATCGATTATCAACTGAATAACGAGCCGCACAATAACTCATTTACATTGACTTTTAAAGTATTGATGGTGGATCTGCTGTTGAATAATGATCGCTACAAAAAACAAACAAATATTTAAAATTTTATTAAATACAAATAAACAATGATTTACTTCATGGTTTGTGCACATTTTTCAAGATCACATGTACATAGTGTATTTTGAACAAAGAAATAGGATGAATCAACAGCTATTGAAACAAGTGCTTGAAAATCTTCACCGACATTGAATAATGATGTTTCAGTATCAACTTTCGAGAAACAATCACTTGGTTTCAATGATGAGGCATCATAGGAACTACCAATACTATTAAAAATCATCAACTGTTTTTATAAGGGTGCGAGTGTCAAGATCTTCCCTTCATCAACATTCACACCCACACCCATAGAAGAGACAACCGTATTATCCATAATCCAGTTTTCAATATATGTTTACGTGAACTAATACATCATTTATTTTCTCTTTATTTTGCCTGAAAAGAAAAACAAATAACGTGTACATAAAAAAACACTGTGCTCTTTTTGTCTCAAAAATAATCATTGCATGAACATTTTCCATTTGTATAGAAGTGATGAATACGATTTGCATCACGAACGACGATTTCACATTGACGAATAGCAGCGATTAATTTCGTTGCTCGATCTATGAAAAACAACAACAAAAATTAAAAGAAAAATTAATATGATTACTTACGACAATCACCACAAACACGAAGATTTTTAGTCACCTGTATTCGTGATGTATTGGGATTTGCAACGAAATTCCATGCAATTGCAAGTTTTTCACTGTGTCCACAGAGTACCGATGCAATAGTTTCATCATGATCTAATGGTCGCGTTATCCAACTTGAATCATATTGATGGCCATGTTCAATTAGTTCTTTTGATATTTTTTCCATTTCAACGTAAATTTCAGATGATCGAGGATGCGATTGGTCATGAGCTCGAAATTCCTAAAGAAATCAAATCAAATCAAATTATTTTCTATGGTCTGTGCAAAAAATTATTATAGCTTCAGACTTACGTAGAGTTGTCCAAATACTACCGTCCATGAAAGGCCAACTTTTTTCTTTGCACCGAACTTAGCTAACTGAATTTTAATATCCGATGCTTTATTAATTTCACCTGATGATGCATAAATATTAGCAAGAAGAATCATAGCTGGTGTTAATGAATTATTTATATCAGGAAAACGTTGTTTCATTCGGTCATATATTTGTTGTGATAATTGACTATTTTTATCATTTCGAACCCCTGATAATAAAGCCACTAAAAATAAATATAAACAAATTGAAATTTATTGGATCACAATAATATATTATTATTCAGTAAAACAATTCGCTAAATACCTTTTGTTAGTCTGTTCACCTCCTAATATTCGTATTTAATCAATGTACTTTCAATTATTCGAAAATGAATTAATGAACAAATATTTTCATTGATATTATCTTTGTCAACTTCTCCCAGTGTCTATATTAAAGAGGGAATTCGTGCAACTGATTAGTGATTTTCAATTTCGAAACAGATGTGTCATGTAAATTCAGGGCTACATCCTTCTTCTTACGACATATTGCATTTTTAAATACAGTTTCAAAATTTCTGTAGAAAACAACCTTGACGAGAATAATTTCAGATATTTTCTTTGTTTCTACCTAAAAAGAAATAGCCACGATCAAAGCACATATTTTTTATATGCAAGGTTTCAAGTTGAAATTCAAAAAGCAGTTTACATGGTCTTTCTGAGAAGAAGGATCATGACGTTACATTTCAAAATATCCTTAAAAAATGCAATTTGTCCATATTAATAAACAAAGTCCTCGAGCTTTTTTGTTGTTCTCATAAGCCAATAGGGCCAACACGATGTGCATGCTTCGAAGATGTTTGACCAAAGTCCCGGATCTATATACGTTTGTCAACGAAAACATTCTCTGTTTTATAGGTTGAAAATCATCGTAGAAAAAAAACTAAAAATCGTCTTTATATAATCCAGATCTGGAAGTTATTTTTGAATGAAAGATTGATAATTTTATCAGCTATTTCAGAAAATACTCACTATACATAGGCAATACAAATTGCTGATTATGTTCAAATTCATCAATTAGTTTTTGTGCTTCTTCAAAAAATGACGCACGACTAAGACAATCATCCTAATGAGAAAAACAAATCAATAGAAAATATTCAGATTTAAAAGAAAAGCTCATTGATATACCATGCTTGTAAAAATTTTTAATGTTTTTATTTGAGTATTTTGGAAGATTGAACGAGCTTCATCAACAAGTCCCGAATGTGAACATGCATTTAAAACGCAAATATGAGTTACTTCATTCTTAGACTCTAACGGCATTTGATGATAAAGTTCAACAGCTTGAGTACCCATTCCATTTAAACCATATGAATTAACTAAACAATCGAATAGAATAGTTTATTTGTTTTCAAAGAAAAACAATCAAAACATACTCATTGCTGTGTATCCAATGTGATCTAGTTGTGACATTTTTTCAAAAATTTGTTTAGCTTGATCAATACATCCACTTTTGCCCTATGTTCATAGTTTTTACAATAAAATTAGAAGAATTTATTTTTAACTTACATACATATCAATTAGTGCTGTTTGACATTGATTATCAATTAGAAAATGATTTGGAATTTCTTCAATAAACGATTTACATAAAGAATAATCACCAATTTGAGATAGAGCTTTAATTAAACAAAGATAAATAATACGATTTGACTTAATACCACTGGTTTTCATTTCATTAAATAAACTTAGTGTTTTAAACGGATTATTTTCTTTATTAAGTCCACTCATCATTGCTCCAAACATTGATATTGTTTTACATCTTGATGAATTGAACAATGATTGAGCATAGACTAAATCATCACATTTGATCAATGCGTCTAATAGAGAAGCTACAAGATAATCGTTTGAATAAAACGATTGAGGAATTTCTAATGATTTCTTTTTAATTAAACTTAATACTTCATTCGATCCTATTTGAGCATACGCATTAAATAAAAGAAGTATAATAACTTCATCGGGATCTTTTATTTGATTAAAAAGTGCAATTGCTTCATGTGGCCTATTGTGTTTAACATATCCTTAAAGAAAAGATCATGTTAAACAAATAAGCGTAAAATAATTTCTATACCTTTCATCATTGCTCCGTACATTGACAAAGATTTATTTTTGGATTTATTGAATAATGATTGAGCATGTAAAATATCACCACATTTCATCAATGCATCTAATGCAGAAGCTACAAGACGAACATTTGAAAAGAATGATTTCGGAATTTGCGATAAAGCTTCTTTTATTAAGTGTAATGCTTCTGTACTTTCCAATTTAGCGCCAGCATTACATAGAAAAATTATAATAATTTCATCCGGTTTTTTTATTTGATGAAAAAGTTCAATAGCTTTATTTGGCATATTATTTTTAATATAGCCTATAGACAAAAAAAATAATTCTAAAGTTATAAAGGAAAAAAACGTTTTTATACCTTTCATCATAATTCCATATATTGACAAAGATTTTTTTATAATCGTATCGAACAAAGACTGAGCATTTGTTACATCGCCACATTGCACTTTGAAGATCAAACATAAAAATAAGAAGAATTTTCGATAAGAACTCACTATAAAGTTGAATTAATGAAAATAAGATGCTAGAATCATTTTTGATCTGAGATGAAATACGATGATGAATTAATGAACCACGTTTGAGATCACGTAATTGTGTACATGCTTTTAAAGCTTGAATTATGATCGAATTGGAACATGTTTCAATATTTTGTTCTTTATGTTTATCAAATAGTTGAAGTGTTTTTTTGAATTGTTTTTCATCGTTGAAGAATTTCATTTTAGCAACCAAATCCAACTCAGATCCGATAATCATTGAACGTTTAATAAACATCGTTCGAAGTGACAAAGAATTAATTAACAATCCATGCCACATCTGTGACGGAACGGCTTGTTCGTTCCTCTCTTTTATTCCGAATGAATGCTTTTTCGAGTAACAAAGCTGATACCAATAATATAAACAGTGAAGAAGAAGAGAAGAGAGAAGCAAATGTAAACTAATGATTAAATGATAAGAGTGATTAATGAGTACATGCATTCTTGATGGAGTCGTGATGGATGGAATCCGTCACAACATCGAATTATGTTTTTCTTTAAATTGAATTTTTCGTTAAGAAGTATTAGTTTATTTTGACGTTGTTGGTTATTAACCTCTGACCAATCAAGATGACCATCGATCGGATACTTTCTTTAATCTGTTCATGAATGGGGTGTGGGTGTGGGTGTGGTGGGTGTGGGTGCGTGTAAAGAAGAAACTCAGACCCACACCCACACCCACACCCTAGACACAGCAATTTTCTGCTAATTTATTTTATATTTACATTTTGACAGATTAAATTGTAAAATAAATTTAAGTTTTCAAGATAAAGAAAGCTAAATGTAATAAATTTGTTTCTGGATTTAATAAATTTTTGTAAATGGAAGTCGATCACAACAAACTGAAATTTTAGAGTAGTTCTGTAAAATGCATCGTATTGTGTCCCTTTTGTTTTGAAATGTTTCCTTGATGAATTTTAATGAATGGAAATGCGTCATATGTTTTTCAAAAAATTTCTATTTAGTATAATAAAGCTTAAAACACCTATATGATTATTCTCTACATTACTAATAGTAGTTATACTCTCTTTAAAATTTCAAAAGATTACTCGAAAAAAGATATGACAAATTTATCAAAGTTTATGTATAATAAGAAAACGTAGTTTTCCTTAGTATGAGAACGTCATGTTTAGTTCATCTGATCTGTGCAAGCTTCGTAATCGTAAGTACATATGTTCGAATCTACTGTTCTGCTCAAAATTCCGATATGTATCGAGGACTCTGGTATTTGTAAGTACATATAGTCGAATCTTCTGATGCGAAAATGATCCGATAGCTATGGCGTACTCGAAAATAAGTAGCTTCAAATTCGTAAAACAAACTTTTGTGAAGTAAAAAATAATTCGAGTGGTCGGCACACATCGACCCTTATCATTTAGAATCCATCGGAAAAGCTCTTCGACAAGTATCGGAACTGAGATATCGAGCCCGCGAAATGAAATATTGTTAGCTGTAAAATAATCGTGAAAGTAACCCATCGCTGAGCACTCGACCCATCGGAAAGTGGCACTTCGAACACTCTGTTTTGAATTCCGATGGGCATCGAAAGCCTCAAAATGACTGGTCGAAAAGCCCATCGCAGGACCACTTGGGCTGTCTACCAAGCCCTTTTCTCATATATTTCGAACAGTTTTTGTGCAAAACCTCACTTTCTACGTAACCAAACAAGGATCTTCTCGTGTATCCACGGGAAGATCCTTTTTTGGTTTCGTAAAATACCTATTTTTTACAGTACAAGCACTCACCCCAAACTCTTTGAAATCTTTTGTAAAATAGAGATCGATTCTGAGATTGTCTTGCTTCAATATATATTAAGAAAGTTAAAGAACACTAGCTAAAAATGCTCTTGTCTATATATTAAAAAAAAATTCATGTCATTGATGTTTGCGGTAGTGCTGTGGATGTCTGAATAATAAAAAGATCAGTTTCAATGAAAATTGAAAGATTGATATTTTGTCCACTTACAAGATACATAACTTTCCTTCAATGATTGGATGCCAGTTCGCTATAAACCTGGACGAGACCGTCCGCTTGTTGGACATCTTTGAAACTACCTTTCATCACTTGATTGATTTTACGGAGTTCCGTAAGGCTACTTGTTTCGCATGCCACTGTCCAAAACTCTTTTATTACCGAACGGTAAGTAGTCGACAATGTGACTAATTCTTGTTGCGGATAACCAGCCTCTCCATCTGTCATGAAGATGATAACCTGAGGTCGTTTACTCACTTTGTCATTGCTGTTTATACTTTTCAATATTTCGATGACCTTTTGGAAGGCAACCTGGAAATTTGTACCCCCTTCTGGTGTCGAATTCTGCAAGAGATTGAAATCGCTCTCATTCAACAATTTGATTTCTTTGAATAATAATCCAGGCGGTGATTTTGCTGATAATCCAAAGAGAACGAATGAGGCAACGCCATCTCCTTTTAATTCGTTGTGGATTTTGGTGAATGTACGGATTGCTTGTATTAGATGTGTCCATCGATCAGTTTTTTTCATCGAACCCGAATTATCGAGCAAGAAAATGTAATGTTTGAGCTTCATATCTGTATTCTCTATCACAAAGTCCATCTCGTATTTTCCGCACCATTGCTTACCTATTCGATTCCAAACAGAGGCACGATAGTCTGATATCTCGTTGATAGGCCTGAGCATCGGCTTAGTTATAAAATCCCAGTCCCAATCTGGATGGGTACGTTTATATTCGGACCAAATACCAATGCCAATCTTCATGTTTTCCTTGATGTGTTCACAAGGGATTACGGATGCCTCGAAAAAACCATTTTCAAGATTTTTGTAGCTGGATTTTATTTTGCCAAAAGCGCGATACTGATGACCAGATTGACAACGATGCAAGTTTTCTCCTGTGCCTGGAGCAAATCGCGCGTCTATCTTATGATCCACATCGCAGATTCGTTTACAACATGGGCATTGTGTGTCACAATGTTTACTCAAGAGTATGGCTCTTTGCGTAGAACATACATTGTTCAGTAAATTAATGCTATCGCTCAACTTGACTCCAAAATCTTGAATTGCGGTGGGTTTTTGTTCGAGACATTTTTGTATGAAATCAAAAAGGTTCAAAATAGACATCAACTTGAAGTTGCCAGACATAGTCGACAGAACTGTTTTTGTGTCATCATTGGGCCGTGGAAACTTTTTTATCAACTTCTCGCCATTATCTCTTAGTAAATAGGTAACGTTAGATACTCTAAATTGACGGGTTAGTGGATTCTGTTGGCAGAAGTAGGCGTAAAGAAGAAGAGATACACACTGTCCCTTATTTGCAATGCTCCCATAATCTGAAACGTCTCGTGGCTCGAAAAGTTCAGTGATGAAGGTCGCCTTATCGGCATCTTGCTCAACTTTTAAGTGATTCTGGATTAATTGAAGAACGTCGAAAAAATTCTCCATGATCAATTTGGATTTTTCTTTGCAGCCATTAAATAACTCAATTGGTACCATTGACTTCGCCCATTGATCGAACTCAATTGCTGCCATTGACCTCGCCTTTTGATCGTACTCAATTGGTGCCATTGACTTCGCCCATTGCTTGTAAAACTTTCTGTTGAGTGTATCGAGTGGACTCTCCATGTAGTTAAAAATTTCGGGATCGGACATATTAGGTATGTTTTTATCGAGTTCCATCAAAATGGTACAGCGATCGAATAATTTCAAGTCCCTATGGATTTGATCGTTGATTTTCTGTTCGCTTTTAGTTTGGAAATCTTTGATCACAGACTCGACAAACACTTTGACAAAAGAAACAGCAAACCTTGCATCAGCCATTTGATCCTGAATAGGGGTGGTACTTTATATTTACTTTACAAAAGTAAATAAAATATTTACTATTTACTTTTGTAAAGTAAATAAAATATTTACTATTTACTTTTGTAAAGTAAATAAAATATTTACTATTTACTTTTGTAAAGTAAATAAAATATTTACTA